GATCACATATTAGGCCACAAAACAAGTCTCAACAAATTAAAAAAGATCAAAGTCCTATCATGCATATTTTCTATGAAACTAGAAATCTACCACAAGAAAAAATCTGGAATGAGCACATGGAGGTTACAATAACATGTTATTAAAGAATGAATGGGCTAACCAAGAGATTAAAGAAGAAATTTTTAAAATTACATGGAAACAAATGAAAATGAAAACACCAAGGCCCAAAACTTCTTGCATGCAGGAAAAGCAGTTCTAAAAGGGAAGTTTATAGTAATATAAGTACCTCAAGAAGTAAGAAAAATCTCAAATAAACAACCTAACCTTATAGTGAAAGGAGCTAGAAAAAGAAGAACCCAAGTCTCACAAAACCAGCAGAAGGAAGGAAACAATAAAGATTAGAGCAGACATAATGGCTGTAAAATTGAAAAGAAAGGAAGAAAGAAAGAAAGAAAACAATAGAACAGGTGAGTTAAAAAAAATAAAATAAAATACAGCAGTACAGAACTATGTAAAATAAACCTATAAAAGGAAAACAATACAAAAATCATGGTTGAATTAAACTTACTGAAATCTGTTATCATGGCTGGATTTTTCCAAGCTTTTGTAATTCATTTTTCTTACTTTGCTTAATTAATCAATATAATTATGTTTACTATAGTATATGTAATAATAAGCAGAATATAAGGTATTATCTGTAGATTATTTGGTAACAATTATCAAGCATGTAACTGTATGGGGACAGAGATTAGAAGGTAATTATAAAAATAAAAGACTTTTTAAGGAAAAAAAATAAATATACTTGCCAAATGACAGCAATCCCATTCCAAGGTATTTACCTAAAAAAAAAAAAATTTAAATACTGTTTTAGTTTCCTGGGGATATCATAACAAACTGCTACAAATGTGGTGTATTAAAACAGCAGAACCTTATTCTCCCATTCCAGAGGCCAATAGGGCTCCACTCCCTCCAGAGATTCTAGGGGAATACCCACTCCATGCCACTTGTAGCTTCTAATGGTTGCTGGCTAACTTGGCTTCCGTGGCTTGTGACTCTCTGCTTCTGTCTTCACATCACCTTCTACTCTGTGTGTATTTTCTCTGTGTATCTCTTATAAAAACATATCCTTGGATTTAAGACCTACTTAAATAATCCAAGATGATCTCATTTTAAGACTCTTAATTTAATTACATCACCAAAGACCCTTTCCCAAAAAAGGAAATATTCACATACTCCAAGGATCAGAACATAGACATATATTTTGGGGGAGCTCCATTCATCCCACTACACTTATTTTCACTCAAAAATCTATACACAGAAATTTATAGGAGCTGAATTCATAAATGCCCAAAACTGGAAACAATCCAAGTATCCTTCAACAGATAAATGAATTATCCAACTATAGTACATGCCTACAATGTAATTCTGCCCAGCAATAAGAGGAAACAAATTATTCATACATGCAACAACATGGATAAGTCTCAAATGCATTATGCTAAGTAAAAGACTCAAAGCTACATACTAATTTCATTTATATGACATTCTGAGAAGGCAGAAGGATCTGAATAGATATTTTCCAAAGAAGATATACAAATGGCCAATAGAAACATGAAAAGTGTTCAACATCACTAATCAGGGAAATGCAAATCACAATCACACCGAGATATTATGTCACAACCCTTAGAATGACTATTATCAAGAAGATACAAAATAACACATGTCGGCAATGATGTGGAGAAAAGGGAACCCTTGCGGACTGTTGGGAATGGAAATCAGTGCAGCCACAATAGAAGACAGTATGGAGGTTCCTCAAAAAATTAAAAGTAGAACTGCCATATGATCCAACAATTCCATTTCTAGGTATTTATCTGAAGGAAATGAAATCATTATCTCAAAAAGGTATCTGCACCCGCATGTTCACTGCAGCATTACCTACAATACACAAGATATGGTGTTAAAAAAAAAAATAACTATCAACAGATAAAGGTTAAAGACAATGTGATATATATGCCATTTATATATATGGAGAGAAATATATAGATATAGGTGTAATGGAAGATTATTCACCATAAAAAAGAAGGAAATCCTGCCACTTGTTACAACATGAGTAGACCTTGAGGTCATTATGCTAAGTGAAATAAGCCAGATAGAGAAAGACAAATACTGGACAGTTTCACTTCTATGTGGAATTGAGAAAAAAAAAAAAAAAACAAGAAACAAAAACCAAACTCAAAGGAACAGAACAGATTTGTGGTCGCCAGAGGCAGGGGGGTGGTGGGCAAAATCGGTGAAGGGGGTCCAAAGGTACAAACTTCCAGTTATAAGGTAAGTAAGTCCTGGAGAATGTAATGTACACATGGGGACTATAGTTAACAATACCTTACTATATATTTGAAATTTGCTAGGAGAGTAGATCTTAAAAGGTCTCATCACAAGAAAAAAATTATTACTATGTGTGGTGATGGATGTTGATTAGACTTATTACGGTGATCATTTCACATTATCTACAAATAGCAAATCCTTATGTCATACACAGAACTAATACAGTGTTACGTGTCAATTATATCTCAATTTTAAAAGGTAAATATAAAAAATACACTAGATGGACAGAGACATAACAGTTGTTAGCAGGGGTTGAGGTCAAGGGGGCAAAAGAGAAGCATGGGAGACTACTGAAGAACAATGAAACGTCTTTGTATCTTTATTGTGGTGGTGATTGCCCAACTCGGTGTATTTGTCAAAATTCATAGAACTATACACCAAAAAGAATTGACCTTTCTCTATGTCAATTGAAAACAATATGCTGTAACAGAGTGATGGAGCTGGGACTCTGAGAGCTGTGTTTTCCTTCGTCAGGTGGATCTCAGAGTCTGCCAGTTGGGAACACTTAAAGGAGATAAGAAGGCATGAAGAAAAAGAAACTTGCTCTTTCTCATTTTGATTTCTGTCTCTGTCAGCATCACCTTCAGAGTTTACTCTGGCAGGGAAGTCGTTTCCAGTTTTATTTTGTTTTCCCATACTCCTCGAACAGTTTTGTCACACCCTTTCAAAAATACTGCATCAGCCCATCTCCCCTCTTAGTGGTCTGAGCGTCCTTCTCCAAGGTTCTAGATTTTCAGCACCCCAACTCTTGTCTTTGTTCCCCAGCCCCTGAGGATGGCAGCCTCCTCCTTCACTTTCTATCTCTGTGCTAACTCTTGTTTTCTTCCACTTTCTCAGAACTCTACTACCTGCTTCGTCAGTTTCTTAAATTATACTTTCTGTTGAAAATTACTGATGCGGTTTCTGCTTTACTGATGAGAAGCTGACAGGAAGCCAAAGTCTTTCCTGTGCCCTATAATGTCCTACATGATCTGCCCTTCTCATTACTTCTCTGACCTTGCCTCCGACTTCTCTTTCTCCTCACTCACTGATTCTCAAGAAATAAAGCAGATAAAGGAGCATGTTAAACCTCACCACAGATATGTAGTCATCAAACTTCAAAGTGTGGAAAGCCCTATTGGACAAATAATTAGTTTCTCCAACAAATAAATTGCAAGGGGGAAAGAAACAACGGAACAGCCAACCTCTAGATCAAAAGGGCCTTAAAACAAATAAACCAGAAAAAACAAAAAACATATAAACCCGCAACAGTGTGAAGATATAAGTTGAGCCCTGATTTTATATATACACATTATCTTATGGATTTGAATTTGAATTTGAATCATGACTGGATATGAGATATAGGAATTAAGAAATTACTGTTAATTTACTTTAGTTGTTAAATGGGACTGTGATTATGTTTAAAAAGTCCTTCCCATGTATGGGGAAGTATTTATGGTTACATTGATGTTATAATACATGTGGGGGTTGTAAGAGATGATGCATAGATGTAACAACATTGACCATAAAAGGATCATTGTTGAAGCCAAGTGTCTTAGTCCATTGGGACTGCTATAACAAAATGCCACAAACTGGGTGGCTTTTAAACAACAAATATTTATTTCTCAGTTCTGTAGGCTGTGAAATCCAAAATCAAGACACCCACAGATGTCGTGTCTGGTGGGGCCCCTTTCCTCCCTCAGAGCAGTCTTCTGACTGTGACTTTGCATGGCAAAAGGAACAAGGGAATCCTTTCCATCCTCATTTGAAAGGACATAAATCCCATTCACCAAGGGATGGCCCTTATGACCTAATCACCTTCCCAATGCCCCACCTCCCTAGACCATCACTTTGGGGATGAGGTTTCAATATACGATTTTTTGGGGGGTAGGGACAAAAACTTTCAACTTGTACCACCAAGTAATGGGGCAGAGGGAATGCATTTTATTATATAAAGTCTAGGTTGTTTGTATTTTTTTTTTTTTCCATTTGTCTTCAAAATCCACCATGTGAGGCCGTTAGGTCAAAGAATGGTGCGTGGGTTTCTGGCACATGTCAGAAGCCACTGTTGAGAAGTATACAGCACAGTGGTTTCAACCGTAGACTCTCGAAACCACCACCTGCGTTTGCCACGATCTATGTGACTTTGGACTTCACTTCTCCAGGCCTCTGTTTCCTCAGATACAAAGTGGATAATAATGGGATCTCCTTCATGGCGTTGTCATAAAGATTAAATGAATTAATAGGTATAAAACATGGTCTTAGAATATCATCTGGCCTATTTTGAGTTAGCACTCAAAAAACATCAATGACTACTATTATTATTATTACACTGGGGAAAAAGTTGAAATGAACCACCAGGGTCTCAAAACACATGTATCCAAAATATGTTTTTAATCTTGATGAAGTTCACAAATGGTACAATATTGAGATTTCCTTAAACAAAGTATACAATCATGTTCTTAGACAACAAGGCAAAGCATCACTGTTCCCATGTGTCCCTAGAGGCCATGAAGGCAATGATTTATTGCCCCCCCACTAAGGTTTGGCAGAGCCATCATGATCAACAGGATAGCTCTCAGAGAACCCATTTGCTACCAGATAGGCCAATAATAGATGCCATCACACTGACTGCACACAGAATCAAATATAAAAAAAAAATACACAATACATATGGAATTAGCTTATTTTGCATTCAGTTTCATTCCTTTCAAGTGACAAAGGTGCTTTTTTTTTTTTCCAGTATCTATTGGGATGCAAACATGTATATCTTCCATGGGGCCTTCTCACCAAGTGTTGTCAACAGAAATTAATAGAAGTGGTGAGTTCAGCTTCATGGTTACCTGAGATGGGAAAAAATAAAAATAAAAAAAGAAGAGGAAGAAGGAGGAAGTGGAGAAGGATAAGAAAGATAAATTGGAGAATAAGAAGGACAAGAAGGGAACAATCACAATTATTATTAAAAAGAAAAATTTACGGGAGTGCTTCTTTAAATAGCATTTACAAAGTATGGGTCTGAGGTATAAATAGGCTTTTAGCAAAAAATAAAAATAAAAAAGCAACTATCAATCAGCAAGCTTTTTTTTTTTTTCATTTCTCCTCTTAGAAAGATGACACTTCATGTCTGCAGCCTATCCCAGTGCTCTGATTTCAGGCTGAGGTACAAAAGAAACTCACTACTGAGAAGGAAGAATGTTATTGGAAGGAAGGGATCTGAACACCCTACCAGGTCCAGTGGGGTTCAAAATGTGGATCATAACCTCCAAATTCCTTCCCCTCCCATTCAACAATACAAGGGTGGTCACCTTCTTCCTGGAGTCCAGTAGCTGCTCAGGCATGAAGGTCCCTGCGGCGACGGCCAAAGGCTTCAGAGCCTACATCGGTGGGCACAAAGTTGTTCTTGACCACAGCTCCAGATCTGCTCAGCAAGCCTGCCAGCCGATGGGTCACGCAGGTGGCAGTGTTGCAGGATCTCTTCTGGGCAGTGATGCTGATTTGCAGGATGGAGAAAGAAGACAAGTCCTGTCAGTGAGAGGCAAGAGGCAAGAGCTTGCCCCATGGGGCCTTCATAAAGAGAATTGCAGCTCCTTGACATACCACTTAAGAATAAGGGTTTCTCCTAAATGCAATTATCAAAGCTGTTAGGAGAAATGGCCTGGCAGCTTTGGCTAGGAGCCCTGCCCAAAGACCTTCATGAAAAACACCCCGTGCCGATGGTACGGAAGTGTGCAATCACTATAGGGTATGTAAGAAGCTGATGTTACACTGTATGTTAACTAACTGAACTTAAATAAAAACTTAAACAAAAAGAAAAAGAAAAAACCCAGTGCTAAGCTAGACTCCAGGACACACGTACTAAAACCTACAGTTATTGCCACTTACATAGAGTCCTTTTAGAATTAGGAGGAAGGGGTCACCAAAGGCCCAGCCCTACCCCAAGACATGCAAGGAGGGACCAGCAGCCAGATGGCAGCCACAGACACCAACAAAACCACTTTCCGTGGGAAAATGAAAATCCCTGAAGTCTTACCTGGAAGGGGCTCAGAAAGCACGGATGCTGCATCCTCCCCCAGAAGTGTTTACCTGCTCCTCAGCACACCTGTTCTTGATGGTGGAGCTGGTTCATAGGGACCACTCACCAAGGCCTATATCCGGCTACCCTGAGGCTAAAGCTACTTTTGAACATAGGCTCTGGTCACTCTCAAGCCTCAGACAGGGACCAGAGTAATGACCACCACAGTGCAAATTCTTGTAGAAAATAGGTTTATTCATCAATGGTGAAGCATGAGGGATGAAGCAGAAATGGGAGGACTCTGCCTTGAAATCCTCTGGGATCTCACAGATCTTCCCTTGCTCTTACCTCTAACCTGGTCTAGGAGTCCTGCCCTCTTCCCTCCACCCTGAGATCCCCAGCATTCTCTGGCATAAGCAAAGCTGCCGATACCAGCTTGAAGAGCTACCGAAGTGAAACCTGCATGCGCTAAGTTCATCAATGGGAGCAGGAAGGGAAATCAGGAAGGAGTGGGAGGAGTTCAGTTGGCATCCTGGGGAGCCCCAAAGTGGGGTTAACTGCCCCTCTCCAAGACGCTGGCTATGTCCCTTCTCTTCCCAGGTGTTTCAGCCCCGAAGCCGATGCCAGAGAATGTATGAAAGTTGTTGAGGTCCTTGGAGTATGTGCCCAGCACACAGGTACTCAGATTACTGCACCGCTTAGCTCGGAAGCTGTCCAGGCTGCAGGGAAAAGACATGCCAGACAATACCATGTCCAGGGTCTGCCCCAGAGGGCAGTCATGCAGAAGGTTGGGCCAGGGAGGGAGCAGTTGGAGCAGAGGCAGGAGGGGCAGGCGGCCGCGCAGCTCTCAATCCACCTGTAGGAGAACCTAGAGGTTTCCTGAGCCAGGGCAGGGTGGGGAAGGGCTGTGGTGGGGGAAGGGGTAGTCTTCTGTAGCATTCCTCATGCTGCAATACGTCAGTCATCATGCTCTGCACTGAGATTTGCAGGGTAGCTGCTTGTGCATCTCATGCCTCTGAGCCAGCAGGGCCAGGGTCAGCACGGGGCTGGTGTGTGCTCCAAGCTCAGGGGACACAGGGAGGGGAGGCAGGGGCAGGGCATGTGGCCCCCCGACAACGTGCGCATCTTTGCACAGCCTACACATCTAAAGACCCCAGACCTACCTCAGACAGTGCCCTACCCAACCCTACCCTCTGCAAAGGCCTTTGGCTTCATCTTGCCAACCTGCAATACGGGCTCCTTGTCAGTGTGAAAGAACACACTGGTTCAATTTCTGAAACATCCTGAGATATACCAAGTCCATCCCCTGGCTTCACACTTACCAGTCCCAAGCCAACCGATGCTGGGATTTCTCCTCAGTAGGGCAAGACCAATGCCCTGTGTAAGGGGTTCTACGCTTCCCCATTCTATTTCCTAATAACAGCTTTCAGGAATGGGCCTTTTTAATGTGTCTAACCACAGTCTCTTCGGCTCCACGTGGACCGGTCTTCCACAAGCCTGAGGACGGCTGCGCTGCATGGCCTGGTGAACAATCACAGGCTGCTGGACTCCTGCTGCCCAGAGGCTGCTGTTCCTACCTCTCTGGGATACGTCTTTCCGCATATGCCAGGGTGGAGTGGGGAGGCTTACCTGGAGCCCTCCATCTCCTCCTGCTCCTGCTCCAGTTCATTTGCCTTCCTCTGCACGTAGGCCTTCACCAGGGCAGCCAGCAGGAGGCGGCCTTCCTTCTCACTGAGCCCAGTGGGGTCTGGGAGGCTCTCCAAGGCAGACCTGGGGAGAGAAAGCAAACCCAACAGAGACTCTGAGCCCCTGCCTGCCTCCTCCCCAGGATAAGCAGCAAGGCTTCCTGGTCTCTGCGACTTTCCCTGAGGACGTGCCTTCTACTCGCCACCGCCTCTGCAGGGCTGAATTCAATGTCCACCAAGCGTCTTAACTCCGGGGGTGACTTCAGAAGCAGGGACTGCCTGATCCCAGGGGCAGTAGAAGGGGAAGGTTCTATGGCTTCAGGCTGCCTCACCTGAATGGTGCCGCCTGGAGGCTGCCTGCCTGGCACAGGACCAAGATGCTGAAAGCCAAGAAGGGGGAGGACTTCCAGAAGCCCATGATGCCTCTCTGTAAGGAGAGAAAGACATTACACACTGCGCCGGGACCCAGCAAGGCCTGGAGCCCACAGACCTGGGTTCCTGTGCTGCCTCAGTCACAGCTGCCTTGTGGCTTCAGTCAAGTTACCCCACCTCCCCCAGCCTCCCTGCACTTGCCAGAAGGGCTGTTGGGAATTTCAAAAGATACCAGCAGTGAAGAGGGTGGTAGAGCAGAAAAAGGTGTCCTGGGGCTGGTGGAGTTCTGTGGAAAATCAGGGAGAAACCACACACCAGTGCCTGCACATACATGCACACCCTTCTGCCGTCTGCAGTGAGCAAGCAGGGCCCACCCTAACACACATTTGTTCTCCCACTGTGCCACTCTTCTCAGGGACTGAGAAATCCATGGCCACCTTCCCCTCCCCGCTAATGCGTGGGAGAGGAAAGTACCTTGGAAAGGAGCACTGACCTCTCAGTGAGTTTGGACTCGGGGAAATTTTTAACCTGCCGGTTACTGGTGCCTTTGGGCTCTGGCACCCCAGCCCCCCGTACTGGAGTGCAGTTTAGCTGTTGCTGCTGGTCGCCAGCCTCCGGAGGTGAGCCCCTGCCCTGTTCGGCTGACTGCACAGCCCAGGTCCCCGCCAGCGTCTCAGGACGCTCGTGGGCTGGCGGCGCCTCATAGGAAGTCTCAAGGATCCGCCGTCCCGAGAATCAAACTTGATTTCTCAGGGCACAGATCGCGCAGGATACTCCCAGACCAAACTCGGGCTGGATCCTGCACGCCAAGGTGCACCAACGCAGGGGCCGCAGACCCGCCTACCTGAGCTGGCGAGCTTCCAGCGCCCAGGCGACGCCCAGGAAATGCTCGGAGTTCCACCTGCGCTAATTAGAAAACAACGCTCTATCCCAGCCGCCCTCCTTCCCTTGAGCGGGACAGAGAACTAGGAGCACCTGCCTGCAGGTGGGCCTCAACGGCCTTGAGAGGCAAAAGGCAGATAGATGGAGCAAGCCAGATGAACTAATCCAGAGGCAAGTTACTAGAGTAATCAGAGTGGGAAGTTCCTCACCTGGAGACTGGAGTTTCTGGAGAGCTCTAGCGGCCGGTCCGCCCCGATGGACACAACGCCTGCTGCGGGCGTCTTCCCCGCGGAGCTCTGGGCTCTTATTCCAGCGATAGTGGGAGGGGGGTCCCCACGAGTCCGCGCGGCCAATCCAAAGTAGCCAGGACCTACCCAGCTCCAATTGCGTCATTGCTCGCGCTCCCTGCACTGGTTCTCTAGGGAGGGGAACCATCCGCTCTGGCTGTCTTTTGCAATGAGGTCATTGCTTGGAGAGCGGGAGGGCGTGGAGGGGTGGAGCGCTTTCGACGTCCAGAAAGTGGGAGCCCAGCGGGGAGTTTGGCGTTACCTACGGTGAGGTGCCAGAGCTTCTCTGACTTTCTTGGTGCCTGAACTCCGATCTCGAAACCCCTCCTACTATACCAGTATGGGACCCCCCCCACCATCGTTCTGGCCGCCTAGACCCCCAGGAAGTTAAACAGCAGGCTGGGGTTCTATAAAGGCATCTCAGCTGAAATAGCCCCCTGTGAAGAAGTTGGTAGGGGGAGGGGGGAGGAACTTGGAAGACTGATCTCCTTGGACCACCTTGGGTACTCCTGAGATATCCTCTGCTCTCCCCCACCCCCCACCCCACCTGCGCCTTGGCACCCTGTGCCACGCAAAGTTGTTCTGCTTCTAGTCTGGCGAGAAAGCCACCCTGGCCTCACTCCTCTGGGACGGGTGGGAGTGGGAGGGAAGACAGGGGAAGGGGCTAAGCTGGCATTTCCCTCCTACTCCCGAGACCTGGACTGCCGGCTCAGCATCCTCCACTCTAACCCAGGACCCTCCACTTCATCGCTGGGCTGGTTTACACAGCTGTCCTGTGCTTCAAGACTCTGTTTGCCAAGCTGCTGCGCTGGGACAGCCTGTGTCCGGGTTTCTACCGGCGTCGCGCCACACCTCGACCCCACTTCTCTGAAGCTCTCGATTGCGGAGCGGGCGGGGCTCCTGCTCGGTCCCACAAAGGACAGCCGGTGCCGCAAGCCCAAAGGGCAGCCTTCGCACTTTCACACTCGTGCTTCTTTCAGCTACAGGCGGGCTGGTGAGTGCACTCACGCTGCGCGCGGGGCGCACTTCTGGCACTGACACACCTGGACCCCAGCCACCGCTCGGCTTTTCGCATTCACACGCGGACACTGCGGTAAAGAGCCGGTACTTGCTGCAACTTAACGCGCCTCCACCCGCTGTTAGCAAATGAGCGCGCGCCCAACAAGCCAAACCAACGTCTCCCAAATCCAAAAGCGACGCTGCGAGTTTCTGCTTTGGGTAACAGACACGTTTTACACACACAGGGGTGCACATTGTTCCCTAAGCAAAAGCGCACGCACCCAGTCTCAGCTTTATTTCTTAAGGAGACCTGGGTTCTTGGAGCCCTCGCTGAGGGCTCTCGCCACACCTGGACGCGGAGAGAAGATCCCCAGCTCTTGGCGAAGGGCCATAGAGTGGGCTGGCGGATAGAAGCAGTGGGAAGAAGTGAAGATTACCCCCCCCCCAACACACACACCTTGGGGCCTCAGGCTGATCCTTTTAAGGGGTGAGGGCTGTGCCCCCAAATGCGCCCTCTGGCCCATCCTGACCTCAGAAGCCTCTCGAATAGCCTCGTCCAGTGGTAAAGGGCAGAGGGTGAAGCCAGAGTCTCACGGGATCCCACCTGCTGGTGCTTACTGCTTCTGCAGATCAGAAGGGCGCTCAGGGGCTGCCTGTCTGGGCCCTCTGGGTCTTATTTGCCATTGCACCTGGGCAACTAAACTCCAGGTAATAACCCCAAAGAATCCTGATCCTGGAATCCGGTGGCTCTTGCCGGGCCTGCTTGCCACCCCAACAGGCAGAGTGCACAGTGGCTGCCTGACCCAGGTTGCCCGTAGCCCGGGTACGCGGCGCCTAGAGTAGCTCAGAGCAGTAGCGGACGGCTAGCAGGGGCCGGCCCCTTCCTCTCAAAGCCCTGCAGAAACAGGAGACTTCTGTGTCCCTCTCTCCCGGTTTCTGGCAGGAATAGAAAGACACAGCTGGGAGGCACCACCTGACTAACGTCTCTGCCCTCTACACCGCCTGTTCCCGGACCACTGCTACGGTCTCTGAGGTCTGGCAGAGCCTGTAACCGGCTCCAGGAGTTCGGGGTTGCACCTATCTCCCCCGAGATCTAGGGAACTTGCAGAAATAGCTGGGCCGACTTAGGGGACGAGGGGGAGGGGGAAAGAGTAGGAAAGCAGCTCCAGAAGACCTCAGACCCTAAAGCCCCAAGCTGCCTAGCCCGACGAAGCTAGTGGCGCCCCGAGCCTGGGAAGCAGATGGGGCGCGTGGGTGGATTCAGGTTGGGGTTTGGCCTCCCAGGAGGCCCACAAATATGAATTTGGGGAAAATTTTTCCAAGTTTCCTTGGGATTGAGGACTGGAGAGAGCTAGGGCTTTCCTGATGTGTTGGGACAAGCTGCGCCGCCACCAAGAGGAGTCCCCAGCTGTGCCCTCTGCCCCCGCGGCGCGAGCTGGGTTGCCCACAGTCCAGCAAACAGCTGCTACCCCGGATAAAGTCCGCGGATGTTTCTTTAAAGGCCTCTGACAAGTAAGGTGTGCACCCCACCCGCAGGCAAACTTAACACCAAAATACCTGGGTCCGCGCTTTGAGTATCTTCTTGCGTACTCCAAAGGGACCGGCTATTACCTGTAAGCATCCGGAATTCTTTGACATGGTCTTCTTCCTCCTGTCTTTGCACAGTGTCTGTCGCACAGTAGGTGTACAGCCAATGTTCGGTGAAGGGGGAGTCAGCAAGAGGATGAAAGAGTGTAGAGTTCCATGGGTTCATAACAGTCAGAGTCAACGGTAAATTCGCAGCCAAGTTGGACTAAATAGACCCAATTTAGATCCATTAGATGGCAAAACAGATCCTTGATCCAAAGACGCACCTCTTTACCGAACAGAAGGAATCAGTGTCCTGGTGAAAACTTTCTGGAATCTAATGTGAGAGGAAGTACTGAGGACTTCTCTTCCGAAGTACACCAGCTCAAAAGCAGTTTTCCTCACTGCATCCTTGTATTATATTAGTGAGTGGATGGAAGGAAAAGTCAATACAATAACTTGCGTTCTAAATCAAGAAAATTAAATTTTGATTTCCTTGGAACTGTTTGGAGCTCCAAGGCATCCCCAATCAAACCAACTAGCGTAAAGATTTACAAAGGATAGTTTCTCAGGAATGCCTTGTGCTTTTAAATCATCTCAAGTATTTTGATGCTCTGCTTAACTATCTTATGTAATTACTTTTAAATTTTGAAACAGCTAGTCTTTTTTTGCTAGTCTTTTTAAAAATAATTATTTTTCAGTGTTCCAAGATTCATCGTTTATGCACCACACCCAGTGCTCCAGGCAATATGTGACCTCCACAATACCCACCATCAGGCTCTCCCAACCCCCAGCTGAAACTGCTTGTCTTAACCAATTTTAGAGAGAAAGAGATTCTATATACTAAACTTTTTGAAGTTTATTTTTACTTACTCTCTGCTTTCTTTACAAATTTCCTAGGAGAAATATTCCTTAGGAGTAAGTTTCATTCATGCAACAGATATTTATTTGAGGACCTACTGTGTGCCAGACATCATTCTAGGCACTAGCAATTCATGATGAACAAAAACCCTGCCCTCTTGATGCTTGTATTAAAATGATGTATTCTTGGGTGGTTCAGTTGGTTAAGCAACTGCCTTCGGCCCAGGTCATGATCCTGGAGTCCTGGATCAAGTCCCACATCAGGATCCCTACTCACTGGGGACTCTGCTTCTCCTTCTGCCCCTTCCCTTCTCATGCTCTCTCTAACGTGCTCTCTCTCTCATTCTCTCTCTTTCAAATAAATAAAGTTTAAAATGATGTATTCAACAGAAATCTTTGTATATTACCCTCTACCCAAATAAAATACATCCCTACCCTACTCACATCCTTTCAGTGTGGTAATGTCATATATTTATTTGTCAGAAGGATATTAGGGGTTTACATAATTAAACAATGTAAATATTATTTATTCTCAGCTGATCAACATAGCATACTTTGATTACAATTCCTTGTTTATTTGTTTTTACTTCTAGTAATTCCCTCACTTTTCATTTGTCTAATTTTCTTTCTGCCCATCCCTGTTTATTCCTTTTCCTTGATCTTATTTGTTCCTCATTCTTGATTTCCTCTCACTTTTGTGGATCACATTCACCATTATTTGATGGATAGATTTTCTGGAAATGGAATTCTAGGCTGGAAATTACTCTCACTCAGATTTTTCCTCCTCCTCCTCCTCCTTCTTCTTTTCTTCTCCTCCTCCTCCTCCTCCCCCTCCCCCTCCCCCTTCTTCTTCTTCTTCTTCTTCTTCTTCTTCTTCTTCTTCTTCTTCTTCTTCTTCTTCTTCTTCTTCTTTTGTATCTCTCTCTCTGAGTCTTCTCACTAGTGCTCTAAAATATCATGATGATGTACTTTGGCATAGGGTGTTTTTATTTATTGTTATGAGTACTACGAGAACACTTGTAATCTGAAATTTCATGCCCTTCACTTCAGGGAAATTTTCTTGCTTTATTTCTTTAATAATTTCCTCCCTCCCTTACCACCTTGGGTTCAACATTCTGAGTTTTGGGGTTCTTTTCAAATTTACCTTGTTTTTAAGTTCTCTTGATTGTATTTTTAATTTCCAGGAGGTTTTTTGTTTTTATTTTGTGAGTGTTACTTTTTTTGTTTTGTTCTTCTCACATAAGAAGCTATCCTCACACCTCTAGTTCTCCTTGACTGCTCATTTATATTTAAGAGGAAGGTAATAAACTGCTAATCAGAATAAGGGACTTGTCAGAGTTGTCCATCAGTAGGCCTGAATATAATGATTAGATGGGAAGCAACCTCTCCATTTTACTGGAAGGGATCCTAAACTATGAGTAGGTATAAGAATTTTTCCTTGTCTTTTCATTCACACTAAGAGTCCTCCAATCTCCTGCATGGGTCAGTGGGATGGGGTATGAGGTAGAGTATAATACAATGAGTAGGGAAGGAGGCTAACAGTTTGCCATTCATTATAGTAATCC